TTTCAGTACTTCCTGTTTGACTCTCTAACTGAACCGTTTCAGTACTTCCTGTTTGACTCTCTAACTGAACCGTTTCAGTACTTCCTGTTTGACTCTCTAACTGAACCGTTTCAGTACTTCCTGTCCGATTCATTTTCTAACTGAATCTCTGTGCAGTGAGCTTCCTGCTGCTGCTGCCGGGTCTGAACCAACATGGAATCATCACAAAGTACACGGCCATGGCCAAGAGGGAGATCAACAAGCTGCTGAAGCACAAGGAGAAGAAGAATGAGTAGAGGAAGTGAGGGGGAGGAACAGGAAGTGAGGGGGATGTTTTTACAGTAAATGCAGGTTTGATTTGTCTCTGTGCAAAAAGCACTTTTAGTTTGTCATGTTTTAGTTCTTCACCTGTCACTGTGTGACCTTTGACCCCGTCCCTTCAGAAACAGCTGCTGTGCATGAAGCTTCTCCATCACGTCTTTAATGTTTGAATTATATCCTTCTGGATTTAGTTACCTGTGACTACTGAGCTGTTTGAACATCATTTGAACTTGTTTCTGAACAAAGTGCTGAAAACTAAACTGGATTGAAAGTCTGGAGTCAGACTGTCTGCTGAAACTTTTGTTTTGTTTTTCTTCTTCTGTCTCTGAAGCTCCAGCAGTGAATAAAGTTTGATTTGAACTTCCTGTTTGGTCTGATTATAATTCTAGTTTAACAGATGCTTTGTGGTAAACAGGAAGTGAGTCATCAGCGTGTTGACGGTCCTCTGTCCTGCTCTTTAAACCAGGATTAAAATATCTCTTTGGTCTGAAGTGGGAATATTATGGGATGTTTTAAAGTCAGGTCTTTATCTGACCCAGTTTGAACATGTAAAGTTACAAAAGAAACACATTTTTCTTTCTTTGAGCACACCAACATGCAGCTGTAGTAAAAACTAGATGTGAGTCAAAACAGTCTTATGAAGAGATGAATAAATCTTTAAAGGTCAATATTATGTGTTCCTCAGACATTTATTTAAATACTTTTACCATAATAAAGTATCTGTCACCTTTACTTGTTATTAAAATGCTGTTTTTAAGTTTAAATAGAAAATAAACTTATCTTCTCATCACTTCCTCTTCTAAACACCCTGAAATTGGCCTCTGTCTCTTTAAGAACCTCCTTCCGCTTCTGTCCCGTCCCAGATAAATAAAAAAAAACACTCACTGACACATTATACAAGTTTGATCATCTCCAGAAGGCAAAATTTATTTGCTAAATAAAGGAAGGTTCTGTATTTACGGGATGGGTGGCAACTCTAGTGTACTCACTTTCATG